ATGCGAGAATGGGGCCTCCACACCCTCACTTCTCTTGTTTACTTCTCCATTGCTCATATATGTCCTCCAAAAAATGTGCTTCCTTCTTCTTTAACCGTTCTTTGCATAAGCGACGTTCAGAATCTGAAATCCATACACAGAGGCCTCCTCCAAAACCTTAAATCTCTTACACGGTTATGGATCTTGAGGTGCCCAAAGCTACGATCCTTGCCAAGGGAAGGCCTGCCTCCATTGCTGGGACGACTCTGGATCAACGCGTGTCCACTTCTAAAAAGAGAGCATTTTCAGGAGAAAGGACAGTATTGGCCCCTCACATACCACATTCCCTGCGTCGATATAGAGGACATCTAGGTATACAATCAAGCTCTTCCAAAACTCAGAATTTATAAATAAAATTGTTAAATAAAAGGAGAGGCTTTTGTTAGTTGTTACCAGCATCTGCAATTTCTCTTTCAGGTTATCCCGCAATAAGCAGATTATCCTCTTGCATTTGAAATTTTGTTTTCCTCCCTTGATTGAATTGAGTGCCTCAGATACGTTGGGTTTATACCTTGAATTTTGACCACCTTCAAATATTTCAAACTTGAATCCCTATTTTTTTCTAGGGATATGCATTCACACCTATTTAGCCAAGCCTAGAACAGGTTCAAATGAGATTTTTCAGTAATTTGATTCTAGCACAGGACAGCTAATTTAGATATCCATTTACAATTGCATGTCAAATCTGGAATGAACTTGAGGTAGAAGACAATGCAAAGCCAAGAAACCATATTCTGTCAATGTTATGAGCAGGTTGGTGGTTTATTTATGTGTCAATTGTTTTATGGATTCCCAATAATTTACCCTAAATTAATATTCCATAATGTACAAAAGATTCCACCAAAAAAATGTTGAGCTCTTAGGGTGACTTTACTTTGTTTTCAAATGCGAAATCTAAATTTCTTTGTTGACTTTTACATGGATATGGATGCAGAGAGTGCAACCGTTTGATAGGACATCCCTGTATCTTGTATTTGTAGTAGCTCCATATTGACTTCATAGATTTCAAAGTAATAGGCTGTAGTGTTACCTCGCACTATTAGTTTCATTTGAGTTTCATGGTGTATTCATATGTGCTTCTGCAACATGAATGTTATAGATAATGTTATAGATAACTTATTGAATTATGTGGAACTCTGAACAATTGTTTCCCAGCACTAATTTCAAAATTTATCCTCAACACAAATGTCTGGAATTATAAATGCCTTTTTGAGTCTCACAGGAGAAAAGAAAAAAGTATGGTCATGTTAACTCATATTTTCTTGCTAAGAGTTTTTAAAACTCTGTTTGGATGGAACTATACTAGTAATACATTTCAAAGTTCACTCATGGCTAACATCTCATAGGACTAAGAGGTCTATGTGTAGGGTTTATTTTATTTTAGTTCATATTTGATTTTCATAATGTGTTACATACTGATTACTGCTCTCAATCTACTATGAGCATTGTATGTCATTATGAGCTATTGAGCTGTTATTACAACTTGCCCATTCTGCATCATTTTCATCACTGAAGGAGTCAAAGTCACGTCTTTAGCTATCTTTGTAGTGCAGATATGGCAAAATCCCAATTTTTTGCAATATTTGAGTTTGAATGTCCTTGTGAGATTGTTATCTTTTTATGTTGACCGTATGCATGTTCGTTTTTTTCGCAAACACAATTTGCAGTCCTAGGTATCTTGTGACAAAGCAATATATATAATCCAGAGGCAATGCAGAGGACTACAGACGTCTCTTCTCTTCCTGGTAAAATTTATGCACGATTGTAGTTCAATTTTATGATACTGTCTTGATACCATTTATAGGCAATGACAATTTGGCTGTAGTTTCCATCATTCAATACTGGATTTAGTATCTTGAGATAGAAGACAATACCAAGCTGAGGCACCATGTTATGTCATCTTATGGGCAGGTTAGTTGTATATTTCTTATTTAATAGTTCCTTCTTTTGATCAATAATTTTAGGGATACAACAACATTAGATTACATTTTAAAAAATAATGAGCTCTCCTTGCAACTTTACTTTTTGGATTTCAAATACAGAATCTAATATCTTGTTTTTTTTTATTATTATTATTATTTACATGGATGTAGAGAGTGCAACCTTTCATGAGAGGATACCGGTATCTTCTATTTTCTGTAGAACCATATAAGATCACAACCTTCTAGGTAATTAAATCTTGTTAGCTCACATTCTCTCATCTATGTTTCATAAATATTCATATTACTTTCTGTATTACTTTTTAGGTCCCAGCACTGAAACTGATTTTAGAGTGTTCACAGTAAGTCTCAACTTTACTGTTTACCTTCTTTGTTTCTCTTCTCTCTTTTTGGTTTCATTCTTGAGCTCCTTTTCAAACCAGACATGCTGTGTTCCTGCTAGAACCCAGAAGGCTAGAGCTTATTTTTCATTTGTTTGAACTTTGGTCTGACTCATTTATTACTGTGTAGGTCTAAAGACATTGATTTTGTAAATTTTTGGTCCATTTTATCTGACAACTGTGTGGTTTTCATCAACTGGCAGCTGAAGGTTTATTTCAAAGTCAAACCAGTAGAGGCAAACAAACCTCAAACTGGCCCAGCAGCCAACGGAGCAGCAGCTTCATGCTCCACCACCTCCACCTCATCCTCCACAAGGGTTCCAAGTACTACTAGGGTCCCCACCAAGCACAAACGCCAGTTATTAGCTCTTGACCGTCACCTCCTCCTATGGGAAACGGTCCTAGGCCTATGCCTCCTGGTGGCACCCCATCGCATCCACCCCGCTGCACAATGGCAAATTTGGCTGCTAGGCTTCCAACAATTCCTCCTTAAGGTTTTCCAGGTCAACAGATGCCACCCCCTCCACCTCCCAACATGGAGCAGTAGGTAACCAGCCATCTATTTCCATCTTTTGCTAGGCACAAATCCATGAAGCATCATGCAAGGTGTCAAACTCCAGGAGCAGCATGATATGGTTCAGAAATGCAATCAAATTGCATATTGGATTTATTAATCAATTCAAGTACCTTTTTCGGAAATTAGAAGCCGGCATATAATATTTCAGTTTGTTTGATCTCTGGAGGAGTACGCAATAAATAACACGGCACTCGTCAAAATTTACCAACTTTTTATTCAAAACCAATGAATTCAATCGCAAATTTGAAACAGAATTAGAAAAATGAACTCTAATTGTTCTTCTTCTTGCTGATCAAAAAGAAAAAAAAAATTTGTTCATCTTCTTCATGTAAAACACAGGTCTTGGGCAAAGGATATTAACACTCACTAGAAAATACAATAGCCGTCCTCCATGCTGTGGAAGTAAGTCTCTCTGCAATATAAGACCTATATAAAAAAAAAATTGCATTTCATCTATTACCTATTTCAAAAGTTTACTTTGTTTTTTTTTTTTTTTTTTTTTTTTGAACAGATGGGAAAATTCAGGGGGAGGGAGTGTAGAATAGAATCCAGGTTATGCCTAGCCTCACCCTTTAAGGTGGCCACTAGGCCACCAAGGATTAGATAAAAAGTTTACTTTGTTAAAATGGAAAAGGAAAAGGTAAAAAATGTTTTACACTTGCAATTGGATTAAGAGGGTCTTAATACTGGGAAGAGTCGGTGTTTTGTTTTGGAACTGTAACATACTGGATTCAAAAGGAAAAGGATTTATCTAATTATCACACAAAATGGGTCTTGGGCTTGGGCCTTCCAAAAATTCTTGCTGAGCGGAAAAGAACCTTTTTATACCTGGGCTGGACTTCAGAATAG